AGTTTTAAAGGCGTGTCTGTCATCTCTGGATCCCTTTGCAGCCCCCAGCCCCCTTTTTTCAGTGGACGTTTTGCAGACTTTGAACAGTTTCTTTGGACGCTTCATGCTAACTTCTAGCTAAATACTAGCTAAACAAAGTTACAAACTGAATTCTATATAACATAATATTTTTGTAATTCAGTAAAAAAAATGTTTGAATGAATTTCTGTTCCCTCTATTCAGTGTGTTTTAAATAATTTTTCTTTTCTGTATTACAGCATTTACTGCTCTTTCACTTTCCTTTGTTTTGATCAGTTCATGCGGTCCATCTGATTTATTTCTTTTATTCAACTTTTGGAATTAATTCTCTTTGCTTAGACATCTTTCTCCCAGACTTGCATTCTCCTCTTATGCGTGTTAGAATTTGGCTATAATTACTCATTTCAGCATTGTATGCTATCACATGATCTATGTAAATTAATGATTGTTTTTTTCCTTATGAAACTATATTTTTTAAAGTCTCTGGCTGTGTCCCCAGACTCTCTTTTCTCTCTTTTTCTTTCTCTGTTGCATTACATCCACCTTTAGGTCAACACACACACACACACACACCATTTGTTACCACATTTGTTACCACGTTCCTGTCATCTGCATGAATTAGGACCTGGCCTGTTCCTGCCCAGAGGTAACTGGCCAATAGGACTTGGTTGTGTCCAGTCCTCCTTTGAGGAGGCGGATCGAGCCCAGGAGATAATGCCCATCACCCAGATCTCAGGGCTCTTTGCCCACTGAGACCCAGAGAGAGGTTTTTGTCTGTTAGAGCCCAGAGCGTAAATACTTTTCCTGTGACCTAATAAATGTCAATTTTTTATACTCTTGATCTACTTTGGTTTATTCTCAGGTTTCAAACTAAAGAATCGTGCGTGGAAACACACACTCTGGCCTCCATCCTGAGCATCTATTCTCTCTCAGCCTCCCACTTAACTGCTCCTCCACGCACACATATGGATTAAGCAAACAATTAGAGGATTTCCGATCACGTGGGGAACGTGGAGGGTTGGAGGGTACCCCGTTTTAACCCCGCCGTTCCAGTAAAAGCTATCGGTAGCTGTCATTCACACACACTTTCCAATAAGCCCCGAGCTCTCTCGGTATAATCATAAACGTTTTTTGTTAAAGTCTGGGACGCAGATTTGCTGCCACTCAGCCAAGATGCCGTAACTGAGGTCAGCCGCTGATGGGCAATAAAGCCGAGCGAGTGGAGAGCATTTCAGTTCCATGCCTCCATCTGTTTATGAAGCTGGTTT